TTATCCCTTTTCTGACGATGATCGCAACACCACCCCCCCCCTGGAGCTGGTAGATCAAGCCGAATGATGTTGTGGTCCGGTAACCAACAACTGTCGCCGGACTTGAGGTGGGTCTCGGTGAGGAGGCCCACGTCGATGGTATGCTTGCGGAGGATGTCCGCAAGCTCGATGGTTTTTGCTTTTAAGGAGCAAGCGTTCCATGTGACTATGCATAGTGGTTTAGACGCCATAATGCATAGCCAGTTTCACGATAGTTTCAAACTGTTCGTTCTTGTTGGTGCACTTGCGGAAAGCGCTTGTAACATGGACGAACATGTTCCAACACTCGTCCACCGAGTACATACCTTCTAGCGTTGGCGGTGTTCTCCAGGTTCACCGGGCGTTGGTTGGGGGGGAGCAGGTTGCACTCGCGGTTGCTGGTTGGTTCGAAGAGGCGGAAAATCGCCTGGCCCGAAAGTCGGGGACTTATTTTTCTTACGTCCTGGTTGGTTGGAGGTCGATGCATCCTTTCGGATACGCTTGAACTCCTCGCGTTTGGGGCACTGCCTTTCAGAGCCCTGATGAGCACCGTCACAGTTGACACACTTGATAACCTGGTACTTCCTCTGGCTTTTGTTCCTCCTCTTGATCCGAAAGACGGCGATGGGGACCAGCTTGTACCGGTCTTTAATTTCAGCTTCGATCACCTTCGGTTCAAAATTCGGAAGGCCTCGGATGACTACCTTAAATGGCTTGTCGCCCGGGATGTCGTGTGTGAAAAATTCCTCTTTGGAATTCTTCAGCGAAGCCAAAGCTTTGTTGTAGTCCACTTTGGTGTGGAGGATGATTTTCGTGCCAATCCCGCACAGCTTGTACTCGGCAGTGACGCCAAGGGATGCCATCTCTTGAGCCAGCTTGTCGAGTGGTACTGACTTCACCACCAGAGGTGGAAGTTTCACATTCGGACCGTTCTGGCCGCCCGTGGCCAAGTTTTCAACGGACCCGCTGAAATCACCGACGTCACTACCGTTGATTGCTGTGGCGTTATCCTGGGACCACTATTCATTGGGTTATGGACACTTCCACGGTCGGATGCGTCTCTCTTCGTCTTTTTGCCGCGTTGGGAAGCGTTAGACTGGGTTGCAGGGTTCGAACCCTGGTTTGAGCCTGTCTTCTTCTTCCGCTTCAACATCACACGCGATGCACCGAAACGACCGAAAACGTGAACAAACGTGTAGCACTATTAATATCACTGGCACTGAGCGAGCGAATCAAACAACCGACTGTACTGCACAACGGTATGATGCAGAATGTCATGATCCTAATGCGAACGCGCAGTTAGCTATGTACAACCCCATTGTAGTTTTCAACATGAAATATATCAGACAATATTTATATGCATCTTATCTATCGCTAACCACGCTCGAAGTATTATCAATTGTGAAATTACGATAGAAATCATTCCATATCGCAGTCTAAGATATTAGATGATCGATCAATTAATAATTTTGTCAAGCTTCTGCATTCATGTTACGTCTATCGTTAATTGTTTACAGAGAACAGTTCAGTGCAAAACATGTCTGGTACCTCTATAAATGAATTTAGATTAATATTGGAAGTCTCTTTTTTTTTACACATTCTGCACACAAAATAGCTCATCCCTCACATAATTTCCCGCCGATGTTTATCAATGGGGCGGGGCAAAAAGCATCTTTTGTGCAGAATATTTGAAAAAGGAGGGACTTCGGATGTTAATCTAAATGCATACAGGGTGTTTGGTTCCGGGTTTTACATATTTTCAGGGTAGATAGGGCTCCTAAAGTTATGAAAAAATCCCCATGAAACATAGGGTCGGTATGTTTTCCGGTAGCAGATAATGGCCTCCTGGAAAAAAACGAAGTGGAACCAGAGCCCGAGGTTCTGGATCGTATCACCTTAAAACAATTTCTATGTAAAGATCCCTTCAGACCGATCGCGTTTGTCATAGTGGTCTTTGGTTTTTTGTTCATGATTCCGTTATAAAAAAATCTGGGACTTTGAACAGTTATCTGAAGTCAATGACTTGGAAAATTGGTAACTACACTGCAATGCTTATTTCTGTTTGCAAACTTTGTAAACATATCAAACAGAAATGAATAAACAGTTTATAATAAATAGTGTGTAGAATTAATCATGTTTTGTTGTTTTTAGCATCATCCACATCCAGAGGGCCAGTCACTTTGAATGTATGGGAATGGTAGGAAACCATTTCGAAATGCATGAAAATTTTCAGTTTTTATTCATTATCGTCTTTATGGGCAGTTTTAGATGCATGAAAATTGCACGAGTACATTACTATGGTGATAAGGTAAACACTCGTTTATTTGTTTCCTTCTGTCAAAGCATATTAAGTCACAAATCGTGGATTTTCAGATATTCTCCATACTGCAAAAATGATTTTCCTACCACTGAAGGGGCGACATCTCTAGGATCTTCAGAATAGCTACTACTCATATCATATAATTAATTATAAGTGGGGATGGGTGGCATTCACTAGCCCGAGAATACCCTCCACATGCAAGCCTCTTCACCAACCATACATCAGTACACACTTATCGAGTCAGTAATTTTTACCGAGTTTTTGAATTGCGGAACTCTTCGGTAAAATTTAAAAAATCTGTGAAAAAATCAAAGTTGAGAAAATGTGTTACGAAAATTTACAGACTAACTTCTGTTAACCCCGTGTAATGATGAAAAATAAAAAAAATTCGATTTTATCCAACCTTTACGAACAACAGTTGTTCGGATACCAAACCAAAATTTTTGTAGCAGCCTCTTTTTTTTTGTGGCAGCTCAAAAAGAAGTGGTCTAATTCTACTTTTGTGCGCTACACAACCGTTTCCTCGTTCTAGCTCTTCCTTCTATTTACCACGAATTCTCCCGTTCAAATCGTCGCTAGCTTTCCTATACGCCTGTTCCAAATTATAATTTCCTTCTATGTTCGGGACGCCGAAGGGGAACCAGATGCACAGTATAGACGAACTTTATGATCCAAAATATTCCTTGAATTCCTGTATAATTTCACTTTATCTGCTAACAATTTCTATCTGCTAACAATGTCCATTTATAAATTGTGTTTGGTTTGTTTTGGTTTTGTTTTTCTCTTCCCTTTCTTCACTTCTGACAACGGTACGAAACGGCAATAACATTAGGTACGCCAACCGCAGCTACGCACACCGTTGTGTTGGGTTTGCTGCCCTGCGGTGTTGACAACAGTCATTTGAATTTTAACCGAGTCAGTAATCCAAAAATCAAGTAAAAATACTAACTCCTGTAAAAAAAATCTAAGTGTGTATACAGAAGCAGCGGAGCTCCCCACTCCTCCATCGAAACAGCACCACAGCTGAGCTGCGAGTGCTATGAAATAAAAAGGACATCGACTTATTACCACTACCTACTTCTCTCCCTTCCGCTCTCAGAATTCGCTGATTCGGTGTTTCTCGTTGTGTTTTCTGCTGAGACTGAGCAATATTCGATACCGCGAAACATCTCCGCAGTTATGTTTTCTTTCGGCGCATTAGATGTGCGGTAATCAAAAGTTAAGAATGTAGCTAAACATCTACAATAACATTCTACCAAATTTTCATGTGCGTAGTCCACTGCAACAGCCGAACGTACGAACGAATAGGGTGACTATAGCGCGTTTTAAGAAAACGTCACAAGTTTTTATGGCTGTTTTAAATTAATAATTACGAAGAAACCATAAAGCCTACAAGGTTACTACCAAAGGCACAAATCTAGGGAACTGCATGGAAAATGTTTTGTAGAACAACTAAATAAACAGAAATGAAAATTTTCAACTTAAAAACACTAAAATGTATGAAATTTCACCAGTTTTTTTGGTACTTTCAACATACTTTCCAATTTTAATGTATGATAATTAACTTTAATCGAGTTCTTTTTCAAAGAGCATTGATAGTTAAGACTTTAATCTTTTATTTGGTATGTTGAAATCAGAAAACCACATTAAGATTAAAAAAAATATAGCTAACCAAAGTTGGCAATACAAAAAAACATAAAATGTTGAATAACTCACTTAGCAGTCATTTCCGACCCTATGTTTCATGGGGTTTTTTTTCATAACTTTAGGAGCTCTATCTACCCTGAAAATATGTAAAACCCGGAACCAAACACCCTGTATATGTTTTGTAGTGTCAGGTACTTTATTTTGTAATCTGTGAAAGGGAAATCGAAGTACATGGCATGTTGAGAGATTGATCTCGTGAGAAAGAATTTTCTCTCAAATTTGAATGTTTTTGGCTCTCTGGGGACTGGTAGTAAAGCGGTAAAAAAAATTATGGGAAAAAAACATTTTTTTTATTAATTGTAGCATGTTTAACAATAATTTCCGGGAAAAATCTGAACGACAAAGTCTAATTTCTTTAGGTTTTCGTTATTTTTTTTTACCTGAATATGCACCAAAAGCGAATTATTCCCAGTTCTCTCAATTTCTATATGGAGATTTGTATCACTTCTTACCAGTTGAATAGCACCATCTCTGTGAAATTGACCAGACGATATGATTAATTAAAAGAACTAAATGCTCTTCACATTAAACGCGAGCTTTTTGCAATCTGAAATGATGCGCCGAAAAAAACTGCATTTGAATTTTTCGAAAATGCATCAAAGTAAATTGAACCTTTTAAGCAAATAATATGTTGCAGATCATCCAAACAGTGACGGTATTAAAAGTTAATCCGAGTTGGAGCTTACCGCCATTAGAGGAAGAGAAAGCTGTTTTAAAGTTTGCTGACAAGGGAGGAAAATAGTTTAGATAGATGTAGATATGCTTGCAAAACGGAATATTCAACGATCATTACTAAAATTATCAAGTATTCACACATCATCTCTGGTAGGCAACCCTGTCTTCGTCAGCTAATTAACCCAGTCAGCATTATTATTACTAAATGTTCTTGAAATGTTTCCAAAGTAAGGATTTCAAAATAAAATATTCAATCATTTACTTTTTACTTAACTTTCAGAATATTCTTCACAAGTATCCTATAACTACGACAAACTATTTCTTTGTTCTGCCAATCCATGATAAGAATAAGTACTATAAGCAATGCAATAGGCAGCTTAACTGTGAGTGGGGACGCAGAAGAAAAGTCGAGCTTAAACAACTGGAAGCGGTTACATCATTACCACCCTACATAATCCTGGAAAGTGCTTGTTCAGATAGAGTTAAAGTGATTGCGTATTGTTCATTGTCCAAGATTCCGTCATGTGCCAGAAGATGTTTGCTAGAAGTAATAGTAAGAGACGATCATTGCTACTATCTAAACATTGAGAATATCTTTGTCGAAACAAGAGATTTTCAAGTGATGGGATTAAAATTTCAGTACAGTTTCTATCAGTCAAAAATAGATATCCGCGAAAAGCAAACTAACATCAAAGAATATGAATATTATTACGAATATGAGCAGGAGAAATCTCCTGAAATGATAAAAAAATTCTTTGTAACCCGAAGTCCCCACGATTGGATTACGAAAGAGCAGAGCAAACTAAACGAGGACTTGTACTTTCAACGTCAAAACTACTACTACTATTACTACTATAATGAGGATGAGGATGATGACACTTACTATCAACAACGGAGTGTACAGCCACGCAAAGCTTATGATGCAAGTATCCTCGTCAAAACGTTCCACTTAATATGGTTCACATAAATTTTGTGCCTTGTTAAATCAAAACCGATTTGGTAACAACAACTTTGACTCGATATAAAAAGGCGATTTTGTTTACTGCAGCTATTCGCATCACAGTATCCTTTGGATTTCCTATCAACATGGAACTGTTATGCCAATAGCAACAGTTTAGGCCATACAAATAATAATAACCATTGATTCTTTAACAGGGTCCTCCACCAGATACATCTAACGAACCATACGTTGTTGCCCCAATCCACCATCATCCTGAACTGAAGGAACAATGCGTTCGCTTGATTAACACCGAATGGCCGAGATCACGTATGGCTCGTTTTATGAGTTTCGAAACTTCTACGGATACCCTGCCCATAACGTTGGTGCTTGCTCAAATGATTAATGGGGAAAATGTAGTTCTTGGACACGCGAAACTGTCTCCAGTTCTCGGTGATATTGATGCTGCATATCTGGAGTCAGTTGTCGTAGACTATCGCTATCGTGGCCGCGGTATTGGAACACATCTGGTAACAGAAGCAGAACGGTATTGTAGCAGAATTCTTAATATTAACAACATTTACTTATCAACCGACGGTCAGGAAGTATTTTATGCTAAGTTAGGTTACATGTTTTGCAAAGCTATAAATCTTTTTGGAACGAACGCCATAAGGAAAACACCAAGCAAAAAGCATTGGATGAAGAAAATTTTCTCAGATTGGGAAGTAGAGGAAATTGAAGATGGCGGCAACAGTAACGCTTTAGATAAAAATGAATGCTTCTTACATTCTAAAAAATGCGACGATGAAATGGACAATTGTAACAAAGTAGTACATCCGATGCTGAATATCAATGAGCTGATTCGTAACATTAGGCGTGTTGTTTACAATCATTCGTTTAAAAGAGAGGATACGATTTGTGATTTATTGTTGACTATGCATTCTATCTGATGAACTATGAATGATATTAATAAAACAGTATTAAATGTGTTTGTTTATGTTTTTTTTATGTTTATTAAAGTTCATACTATTTTTGTAATAACAATATCATCAGCAAGCAGGTTTTGTGCACATACCAATAACTTTTCCCGCGTGTTGGTCATCAAATAATGATTCAATCAGAAACTTTCCTAGATCTAATTTTGAAATGGAACGTGTTAATCCTGGTGATTTATCATAGGCGATTGCGTACTCTGCTGAAGGCTCATCTGAAATTAAAAAAAAAATATTTCATATATATATATACATATATTTATATAATTCAGGGTGAAATAATAATAATCTTTCATAATTCCGAAATGTCATGAATTTTCAACTAGCGATCAAAAACATGTTCAAAAGAATTTTTTCAATGCAATATTTAGGTTATAGGGTAAATGGATGTAATGTCGGCCTAAATGCCCCAAATTTGGGCCCATACACAAATTCAGCAATCGACTAAATTTTCAATAGCTACCAAAATATCTATTAGTACCGTCCCAATACGCGTTCATCTACATAAAATTGATAAATAGCAGATTTTTAGCGATGGGCCCAATCTTAATCCATAGGCCAACATTAGAGCCATTTCTCCTACAAGGAATATTGTTATTGTGTAGTATAGAAAGGAGTCAAGGGCCAGGTCTCCGATAATTTTATGCACCGTACATGCTATACCAGTAGACAGGGGGTGGCATCACAGCATCTTTACCAGCAGGTTAAATAAGTTCTGTGTAATCCACGAATGTGAAACAGGGCGAGGCATACATCACCGGTAGGGTAACGTATCGGCAAGACCCCATCTCAACATTGATGTATTAGCTGCCATAAGGGAAGAGACAAGGGAGGGGGGTTTGTGTCGATTCATAGATAGCTGTAACTTAAGGTGGTTAATTCGAGTATATAGCGGCGCCGGTGATGTAGTGGTAAACGTGATTACCTCTCACCTCAGCAGGCCTGGGTTCAATCCCCAGTCGGCGCCGCCGGGATGTTCTGAGGCATAACATCTCTGATCACGGAAGTAAAGCCGTTGGTCCCGGGTTCATGAGTTAATAGGTCGATAGATAGGGGGATAGGGTCCAGGTGTGGGAGCTGCCTCCCCGGCGTCGGTAGCATTGGTGCTCTGCACAGAAAACAAGATCGACTGAAAACAAATCAAGGAAAAAATGGTGGGGTTGTGAATAATACACGACCGCATGGTTGACGTAGACTACGTTAAGCTATGTAGTGAAATTCTCGTGCATTTTTCTAGATATTGATTTAAAACACAGCAGAAGAAACCTATGATTTCGGTCCTATGTACATATTTTGGATTTCCTACTTAGTAAAACTTGGTTAAATTCAGGACCTCATAAAAATACGAATACATATTCTATTACCTTTGGTTCCTAAATTACAATCTGATATGAGTAAGGCTTTCGTCAGGTGATTCATTGAAGCGTCCAACAATGACTATCACTTCAAGATTTCTAGGGCACAAATCTTGGAAGGTTGTGACATCACTCATGAAACTGAAACTCCTTGTGTACTGTACTGCAGCAAACGTGAAGTTCCAGTTTCTTTGTTATAAGTCTTGTGAGAGCTGATATTTGTGCTCTTGAAATTTTTATGTGGTACTGAGATTGATCAGAAATAAGGTTTCCACAGCGATTCAACTTCAAAACGCTAAAAAAAACAACAACAAAAACGGAGCGTACAATTTTGCACCAATGTTATGCAACATTTTGTAGTTGATCGGGAATATCTCTTACTTTACCTTACCAATCAGGCCTTTCTGCTTACCAATCAGGCGGTTTCTGCTGTAAGAAGAAATCGTCTCCACTCTACTCGATCCATGGCCACACTTCGGCAGCCTCGTAGTCTGCGAAGGGTTCGCAGGTCGAAATTAATCTATCGCAGCCCGGGAAGCCGAGCGATTCGCAGTTTAGAATAAGAACACTGGGCGTGGTGGGAAAAAAGTGACTTCCATATCTATCACAGATTACAAATTCGACAGTGAGCATGCATAAGAGCGTAACCGCGATGATCGATTCTCTCTTTTGTTAATAACTCGCTTGGATTAACATTTCTCAGTGCGTTTGCTGTTGCTTTTGATAGCCAATAACAACCTGTTACAGCACTACATTGAAAAAAATCCAGATAATATTCAAGCTGAACATTAGATCTCACACTTTGCTCTAACTCATTATCGTTGGATTGCACGTGGAATGTGATCCAATATCTCCACGGTAGTGATCACTTGCCAATCAAAATTTCGATTGCCAGTGGGTTCAATCCGTCGGAATCCGTTAACGTCGCGTACCTCACCCGTAATAACGGTTGGACAACGTTCAAGACCGCGATAGAGGAAGCCGTGTCGTCTGTAGAAGGGCTTCCACCGTTGGAGGAATATAACTTTCTCTCCAATCTGATCTTGGACAGCGCGCTTCAAGCTCAAACACGGCCGGTTCCTGGAACGTCGTTCCGTAGGAAACCTCCTTCCCCTTGGTGGGACCAGCAATGCACTGAGGTTTATCGTAAAAAGTCAGGCGCGTTAAAGCTTTTCCGGAAACGTGAAACACCCGTGCATTTCGAAGCGTACTCTTGAACGCGAACTCAAGAGCCTCATCAAAGCCAAGAGCCGCGGAGACTGGCAGCAATTCGTGGACAGATTATCGCCAGCCAGCCTTTTTCAATGCTGGAGCTTTCACTTGCTCTCCTTTCGTGTGGCAATTCGGCTCCGGGGGTTGATAGAGTCAAGTTCAACTTGTTGAAGAACCTCCCAGACGTCGCTAAGAGGTGCATGTTGAACTTGTTTTGTCAGTTCCTGGAGCTCAATATTGTTCCGGATGATTGGAGGCAAGTGAGAGTTATTAATGGCTAAAGCCTGGATAACCCGCGTCAGATCATAACTCGTATCGTCCCATCGCGATGTTATTGTTGGAGAAAATGATCCTTTTTCACCTGAACAAATGGGTTGAGATGAACTACCTACTCTCAGGTACTCAATTTGGTTTCCGTAGGGGAAAGGGAACGAACGACTGTCTCGCGATGCTTTCCACAGAAATTCAGTTGACTTTTGCTAAAAAAGAGCAAATGGCTTCTGTGTTTTTGGATATTAAGGAGGCTTTTGATTCAGTATCGGTTGAAGTCTTTTCAGACAAACTCCACGCTTGTGGCCTTTCTCCATTAATTTATAACTTTTTGTACAATTTGCTGTCAGAGAAACACATGAACTTTTCTCATGGAAACTCTACAGCTTCTCGATTTAGTTACATGGGTCTCACCCAGGTCTCATGTTCAAGCCGAGGGGCACGCAATACAAATAACCGGTGCGTTGAAGTTAAAATGCAATCAAAAGTACTTAAAGTAATTAATGCGTTTTGAAGTAGTACTGACGGTAATTAAAATTATCTATCCGTAATTAATTGAAAATGTTATTTTACTTTTCGGTTCGTTAATCGATTAATCGATTATTCGAATGAAAATCGGCCATCACTAGATGAATGTGAAACGTCATTTCAAATGTAAGGACCGTACATAAATAATTATACAATTTGAAAGGGACCGGGGTGAATAACAAATTACGTTCCCACGGTAACTGAAATAAACACGAGTGTTCACCGGTTGGTTTTAGATGCACAAAAATTGCACGGGTACATTACTATGATGATAAGGTAAAAATTCGTTAATTTGTTTGCTTCTGTGAAAGCATTTTTATGCGCTATCCAGGCTGAGCAGTTATAACATGTTATAACGGTTGTCAAATAATTGCTTCAGAAAAACCACCATCAAGATAGCGCTATAACATGTTATAACTCTGTAGTCTGAACGTACTATTATGCCTTGTTCAGACTGGAGAGTTATAACATGTTATAACGGTTGTCAACTAATTGCAACACAGAAACCACCATCAAGATAACGCTATAACATGTTATAACCAACAATCAATACGAAACTAACGATTTTAAATTGGCTCACCACTTTAGTAGCCTATTGGTCCCAAGCAAACGATTAACGTACCCTATTCTAGTTGAAATTCTATTACTACACTATGTTTGTTTTGATTCGCTATGGAAGTTTGACAGATAACATCAGGGGTGTGTGGATTCATGCAGAACATGCAGGGGTGAGTGAAATAGCTTGGGACTGCTTGGAACCGTTGTTCTGGTACTGAGTGAGCCAAAAATAATAATGATTTTCTTCGGGACCCAGTGGTCTTAGAGTTACCTCTATGTTATAACTCTGTAGTCTGAACGTACTATTAGTCACAAATCGTGGATTTTCTGATATTCTCCATACTGCAAAAATGATTTTCCTACCAATAAAGGGGCTTCGAAAAAAACTGCTAGAGAGCTTTTTGACGTTTAATCGGCGCACACTAATGCACCATTTAAATTGAAGGAATGCGAGCAAGAGGGAAACAGATTAGTGGGAAAACAAACCCTGTGTACTAGATAGAGAAAGATGATTAAACGTCAAAAAGGTCCCTTGAATTTTTTGTAAATGCATCACTGCAAATTAAACCATAAACACTCTCCAAGTCCAGTCCACAACACTCAACTTTATCGTTTTTGTTTACCTACACGCAGTGCTGTAAATTTTCATATCATTCGATTGAAGATGAACCACTACAACCATTCAATCAATTCTGTGTAAACGAATTCTCACATGACCATAATTTGAAGAGCCTCTTTCTCATTCGAAGCTCATTGTCACTGTCAATTGAGTCACTCAGTATCATTTGATATACGACAGAGGAGTATGGAAGAAATCCAGGAAAATGGTCCCGAACAGACAAGTCGACCCGATGTCGGATCAATGTAAGGCTAATTTAAGGTCTATGTCGACCCAATGTCGTGTTAATGTCGGGTCAATTTTGGGTTTATGTCGGGTCAATGTCGGGTCAACATCGGGTTGGGGTTTGATAGAAGTCAGGTTGGTGTCAGGTTGGCTTTGCTTTTTCGCCGGAATGTCGACCAGAGCTCCGTTTG